TGGAAGTGAAAAGAAATGTTTTCATGGCTTAAAACGTTGAGTAAGCCGACATACCACATTTTTTACCCGACCCGGATTCTGCCTCGGCAGTCCATAGTAAAACCCTCATAACTTTTTACTTCGATGTTGGTTAGATACGGGGTTTTGTGCGTTGCAAACTAGACTCGTAGGCCTTCAATTTAATGGGTGACATGCCTTCTAACTCTTTATATATTGGGAGAAAACATCCAAGACATTTGACCCAAATTTTAGAGAAATCTTTAAAAAGGAACTTACGATAACTTTCGCCAACTTTCATTTTGCCACTTACCTAACTTAAAAACTTGACATACAACCCTTGAACACTTAAAATATGACATACCACATCATTCTTAATTTATTACTCACCCTCCTTGTCTTTCCACAAAGATACGAGTTAATTTAGACGTTTTGAAAAGTCGAGATGTTACAAATAATAAAGAAGATTTTTTATTCTTGTAATCGTAAATTAAAGTTATATCAAATGTACCAAAGTGTCGTTTAATTTTGTGGCCTTACACATGTTGTATGATGAGCTGAAATTCAAGTATTGCCAATACAAGAAAGAAATCATTCTTTTTATAACAAACTAAAAGAGAAAGTAGGTCAATATATCTTAGTTTTTTAAAACCCCTCCCTAAGACTAGCTCCCATCCTTTTTGTTCTTTTAGTGACTCAAACTCACAATCTTCGGATTGGAAGTGAGAGATGTTTATCAACCGAGTAACTCCCTCTTGTCATAGGTCGGAAGTATCATTTTATTATTTCCACACATATACTTGGGTGTGCGGTGGACCCAACCATAAGGGGCCTTGGGTAGTGTAGTCATAGTTGCGTTTCGTTAATTGGTCGCCCCAAGTAAGGCATCATTTTGAGGGGTCAAACACGGTGAAATGCTTAATCTAGAGATAAAAAAAATCCTAGCGTTCACTTGTCTTTTTAGTTTATGAAAGTGACTAAACTAAGAAAATTTCGAGGTTTTATTCACAGATAATATCCTTGGGGATGTCAAATTGAATTGTGCAAAGAGTAGAAACTTTACAAGTTTTACATATGTACAATAATGTCTACTTTTGAGGCTATATGAAGAATAAACATGATCTAACTGCTAGGAATTTACATGATCTAATTGCTAATTAAATCGGGCACGATCGATCGACTAGATGGCAACGAAGTTGTGGGAGAGTTTTTCGAACTGAGATTTCATTAAATCTCCCAGAGAGCGAAAAGAGCTTGGACGTGTCATGGAGTTGTTTGTGTTGGTTGTTGTTGTTGTAGTAGTGGTTGTCTCATTATTGACAGCAACATCAATTTCTCCCATCTCAGTCTTCATTGATTTGACAAATTTCATGTCAATATTATTACCTGAAATGTCTCTTAAGTAGAATGTATTTCTTGCTCTCCCTCCTTCAGTTGCTATATCTGCTCTAACAACAGCTAGACCATTCTCTCTAAGAACCCGAGTAATATCTGAGAGCAATCCTATTCTATTATTTGCACATAGTTCTAACCGGATTCCCTGTTATATAAAATGATGATGATAGATTAGAATGAATTTTAACAGCCAATTTCTTCTACATATATATACATATTGAAGAAGAAAACAACATCACCTCGCAAACTCTTCGTTCTATAGCAGCTTCCAAGCACTTTATTACTCTTTCTTTCTCACTCTCTGTGCTCATTGCATATCCATCAACATGCCTGATGAAATATTCCTGTCACATGAAAAAAACAAACAGCTATTACTTTTCTGAATGGATTGGGTCATGAATGACGACCAACTTTTTTCAATCCAAATTATAACTTTTGAACGGATCAAGTTAGTAGGTACCTGAAATGCATAATCACCACGGGAATCAACAGAAGCATGGAAGATTACATATTGCATATCTGTAAGAGTGCAAACAGTATCAAACATGAGCCTCTTACGATCCTTGCACTGTATAGAGACGATTGAATATCCCTTTTCGTGACAATTCTCAATACACACACTCAACATTTTCTCTTCCTTACTGTCAACTAATCTTGGAGACCCCATTCTTATAGGGCTTTCAAAATCACGAACTGATAGCATAAGCTGATGTAGTCTACGTTCAACATCAGTCACCGTGCCTTGATCTCCTTCAGGGTTAAGTCCATAAGCGGTTTTCACTTCTTGTTGTTTGACATTTTCTTCATTTGTGCTGCGAGGAGAAGTTGTTGCTCGGAGCACTGTGGTGAGGTGATCTTCGATTGCTGCCAGGCGATTGTGGTCAATAGGTTTGTCAGTAGACTCTTCTGATATGTAAACAACACAAGCTAAACGTGCATTATGGCTCCATGCATGTGCTTCCACAACGTTGCAATGGAGATCAGCTAGGGCAGCTGATATCTCTGAAAATAGTCCTGGCCTGTCTCTTCCAGTCATTTCAATTGCTCTAGCTTCATCATATTTCAAATATTTTCTACTTCCTGTCTTTGATTTCTCTATTCCCTCCCTATTTGCCCCAATCGCCTGCATGTTTTATTTCTTTCCATCACTCACAACTCACATACGATATATAAGATCAGTAGGAGGAACTTTTTTTTAATTTTATATCCATCTTATAATGGTCTTAAAAGTGGAAATTTAGAATAAAAGAATTGCCAAAAAAGGAAAGAAACATTCTTTTTGAAACTGACTAAAAACAAACAAATTGAAACGAAGTATCACATATTCTAAGATTTAATTAATTTTTCTATACTAAGGTACGTAGTTATATGCTGATTGTTACCTTTTGAATATAGTTGACAACTCTTTGATTGGTAACTTTGTTACCGAGCTCATCTTTGACATGGAACACTGTTTAAACAAGCATTTAGAAGGAACATATATATTAGATTATATGTATCATTAATTGGGATAATTATTACTCCCTCTGTTCCAGTTCATGTGTATATATGGAGTAATAATGATAGGAATGATGTGAATATTATATATTTGGATTACCATCCATGAACCATCCAGCATCGGAAGATATATAGCCTTTCAATATAATGAGATTCATATCTGTTAGCACTTGCACTACTTCCAGCAGGAGACCTTGCTTATTTACACTATCAATCTGCATATAACACGAATATAATGGATACGTTTATCACAATTAAAATATTATTATTATTATTATTCTAGATTAACAATTCATAGTTGTAATAAAAAGATTGTGTTACCTTCACTACTGTACAATTCTCTAGACTCTCATTGTCAATAGTAACTCGACATCTACAAATAAGGCAAAATAAGTTAAACCTATTTAATTTATTTTTGGGAAAAAGTTTAAAATATATCCGAACTTTGACCGAAATTGCTATAACAATACCGAACTTTGAAAAGGACATTTTACCCCTGCACTATTTAATAGTGTATTTTAAAGGTATATAAATAGTAGTGTGTCCATGTGGGCACATATATACCTTTAAAATACACTATTAAATAGTGCAGGGGTAAAATGTCCTTTTCAAAGTTCGGTATTGTTATAGCAATTTCGGTCAAAGTTCGGATATATTTTAAACTTTTTCCCAAAAATAAATTAAATAGGTTTAACTTATTTTGCCTTATTTGTAGATGTCGAGTTACTATTGACAATGAGAGTCTAGAGAATTGTACAGGCTCCATAAAATTTGGTATCGTAACCGCTAAAGTTGAAATATTTTTCAAATTCTTTTCCCTTTATTTTAGATGCCAATTTTGATGACTTACTTTGGGCCATTTATCCTCTCAGCTAGGCTATCAAAATCTGGATCAAAATAAGGCGAACAAACTCGGCTCATGCCTTCAAACCAAAAATTACGCCATGTCATATAAATTAAAAATAATGACAATAGCAATATCCAACAAATAAATTTTGATACAACAATTAAGAAAAAAAAAAACAATATAATATGATCTAAGGATACATTTAATTATTTTGACCTTGAATTTTAGAAATCAGCTTCATAGGAAATGCAATTGATCCTTCTTTTCTTTTGATATGTAAAACTATATTGCATTTTAAAATTTGTGTAAAAACACTCTTCAAATATGAACATATGACAAGAAACGACTAACCTTTATTCGTGTTAACTAAATAATTAAGAATAAAAAAGGAGAAGGAGAGAGATGCCAATGAGAAGTCTCTAATCCAAATGTTTTCAGAAGATTGGTAACATGTTAAATTTTATGAATAAATTCTTGAAAAGGGAGAGATATTTAAATTTTGTGTGTTCTCTCTCGAAAAGAAAAAATGGAAGAAAATATATTAAAAGTCATGTTTTTTCCAACAATTCAATTATGTGTCTTTAACCATCCACAAGTTCCTCCTCAATTCTTGGAATACCGAATAGGCTTTGCGACTTGTTAGGGCTGGGGCTAAGACCGGTCATTAGGCGTAACAACATTTTCTTTTACATAAACTTTGGATTATAATAGTACAACATAGTATTTTAAAAAGAACTTCTTCCCTTTTATTCACCAGAACGCAACTTTAATGCTAGGGATATTGTTGATATTCCCTAAATTCAATTTCAGATAATGACGATTTGAACATATTTTGTAGACGTTATTTGATATAAATATATGACACGTGAAATTAATTTTATCATATTTATTATCAAATTATTATTTGATTAATATACCTTGATGAGTCATGTCAATGATGACTGAAATAAATGAACAAAAATGAATAAATAAATTTTTAGGCTAAGGCGCAGATATCTCGTTCTCTTTTAGGAGATTCGAGCCCACTGCAACATAATCTATACCGATCCAGCAATATCACTATTGACTTGTCCCATCCAGGATACAACAGCCCAACAATGTTGTACAATTCAAACAACTCCGGATTTAGTTGAAGAGTCCAAAACTCCATAAAAAGAACACTTTGCTTCAACATATAAATACTCTCTTTTGTATAGTGAATTAGTTGAAGACTTAGAATATTATTCTTTGTCTCAATTCTCTCTTTCACTATACTAACTCAATATATACACTGTATACCACTTCTCATCTTTCCTTACACTCTTTCTCTTGTATACTTCTTATTCTAAAAACCAAAATAAGACCATCACTATTTATAGGTGATGAATTCTTCATTGCAACGAATAGGAAGATAATTGATAGTAAATTGACTAAATGAATATAGCCCAAAGGTTACATAAGTTACAAGAATAAAGAGGTAGAATAATGAGTGGAATTAGTGGTAGATCATGGCAATAGTGGTTACAAGAGTTACACCAAAATAATGACCACATTCTTGTCAACTTACACCACTAACATATGCACTTTGTATTTTAATTTAATAATAAAATGCATATACACCAACATTTTCCCATTCATTTTAATATTAAAATATATAAGAGAGCACTTCACAATTTAGTTGAAGGTAGACTATTATTCATAATGAAGGTGTGCTCTGCATTGAACTTTCACTTAGTATAACAATGATCTTTACTCCAGAGTTAGTAGTGATTTCAGACTTGAATTATGACTGCTTTGCCAAAACATTACAGCCTTGTGCTATCCTAGTTTTTCATAAGTGTTTTTTTAGATAAGCTCATTCTCATAGAAAGCAGCATACTTTCACACTCACATAGGTGAAATCCGTCAAGAGTGCTCCTATAATTTGACACCCCACTCATATGAGATAAGGATTTCATTAAGAACTCAAAGTCTCAACCTCCACAAATCATTATAGGATAAATGCACTTACATCATAGGGATTGAATTAAATTAACAATAATACATTTCACAACAAGTCATCATATGATTCGTTCTTCCCTTTGAACTTGGTTATAAGATTTCTAGTCCCAGGTTGGTTTTCCTCATATATGACTCATAATTTATGAGCTTCCATTTCATCCCCCTCGATGTGCTTCAGAACCTATATATATCTAATGCCTTAGTTCATGAATGATTATCACAAATAATTCTAACACAATTAATATTGATTGTATACCAATGATCAATCTCACAATATTGTTTTTTCTCCTCATGAGTCTGAATTTACCGTTTATTAATGATTTTTTACTCTTCCATTTTATTTGTCCTATCACAATTAATCAAAATTAGAAAAATTAATTTGTTAAAATAAACTAGTGTTTGATATATTAAATTCAATTCACTTTTTCACTAGTTGAAGCTTCTTCTTTTTTTGCTTCAACCTCCAAAGTAGGGTAACAAGCAACATGATTTGCTTTTCTCACTTCAATCAAATAGCACCAAGTTTTCTCATCTGCACCAACAAAACTTTTAAATGTAGCACAATACACAATACAAGCCATCAAATTTCGTACCAAATAAATTTATTTGCTTTGTTTGTACATGCTATACTTTATACACATTATCATATATATAAAGTGCAATTAGTCACATATCTCATATTTTTCTATTAGGCTAGCAAACCCCTTCTTTCTTTGTCACAACATTTAAAATTGAATCAAAAGGAGCGGCAAGACTCACACAACTAATAAGATTGTATTTCACAAATTTCTTAATATTATGTGACTTGACAAGAAAAATTTTATCACATGTTTTATGGTATCTTTTCATTCCAAGAATGAAATTTATCTCACCAAAAAATTTCATGTTAAATGACTACTCAACATGAATTTTATAATTTATTTATAACTCTCATATTAGAGCCAAAAGTCATCACATTATAGCCAAACAATAACGTGTAATTTATTCCACAATAAATATATGTACTTGTTATACTCCTTTTTAAAAGCACTTCTCAAAGATGCAAAAATCACTTTTTTCACAATGATTTTTTCTCATTTCATGAACCCCCACTATTTTAAAAATTTAAATATCATTTTTTCTCATGAAACGTAGTATAACTTTATTCATGAAAATTATTAGGTAAAAAGTTTTTTTTTCTCTACCTTTTCTCCACTTGAATTGAACAAGTAAAAAAATACTTTACCAATAAATCTCTTCTCTTCCATCTCTCGAAAAGAGCGACATTGAAGCAGAATGATGTTGAGATATCCTATCTTGATATCTGCACTTTTTCAAACAGTAACAAAATATGAATCTCCTTAATTAAAATTATTGGTTTAGTATATCACAAATATAATAAATTACAGTTAAAATAAAATGAACAAAAATGAATAAATAAATCTTTAGGCCGAGGTGCAGATGTCCCACTCTCTTTAAGCATCTCCTGTGCAATAATCATCCCCGGGTTCAACCGTGTCCCATTAATGATGCACCCAAGACAGGCTGCTTTGGCGTGGCGGAGAATTGACTCGTTCTGGGATGGCATGATGGTACTGTTGATGAAGCCAAACCAATACCTCACTGCTACATTGAGATCCTTCTTTTCAATGGTTGCCTCAACCTCAATCCACTTGGGAGTACCGTCTGATATCAAAGGAGCCAACCACTTCTTCATGTTTTCCAGTGTTTTTGTCTTGATCTTGTATTGACAGTCATCCTCAAGTCTCGTTGTACATTCTAAGACTGCATTGATGGCAGCATAATCACACTGTACCTTTTTACCCTTGACAACCACATAGTCAACCAGCTTGAATTTGGCTGCCAGCTTCTTCCTTTGTGGTATCAACGCACTGTAAGCACTGTAGAATTCTCTGACCCAATTTGGAATGTAGGGACCACGGGGCTTGGTGAATAGCTGGAATTTGTATGACCTCAGGCAGCTCATGATCTAAGGGTACCTATCTATGACACCATCAGTAGACAACCTCTTCTCCTCTATGATGGTCCTCAATCCCTCAGTCTGTTCATAGAACATGGAGGAGGACCCTGTACTGGTGGTGCTAAGACCACAGCCTGTGCTGGAGTGGAAGGAGGAGTAGTGGCCTGGGAGGTCCTGATCCTAGATGGATCATTCAGCTTCTTTGAACGGAACTCCGCTCTCTGGGCTACTAGTAGTTTCTCTTCAGGCTCAGAAGTTGCATCCTGATGCTCACCCTCACTCTCAGAACTGGTGAGGCGAGTGGCATAGATGTTGTCACTATCGGAGCTGACCTCCGGTGACGCAGGTGTAGTTGCCTTGCCCTTTCCTTTTTCCTTCCCACCTGTTGTGGGAAGTTTGGTAGCCTTAGCAGTGGATGTTGTTGCACCTTGGTTGATTTTTATTCCCTTAGCTCTGTTGCGGGGCGGCATGTTTCTACCGACCACTTTTAGTCTAGCCATATCTACAAAAACATCACAAAGAATTAGGAACAGTTCAAGCAAATGCACAGAAAAATAGTTGCAGACAAACTTGTTGAACTAGTCAGCGAGTCGCCGAATCACTTAGGCGAGCCAGATCGGGATCACCGAAAGGATTGGCTCAAAACTTCTCAGAAAAATTTGGCATGTCGGCGATGGGATGGGCCTTTTGGTGAATCGCCGACAACATTCGGCGAGCAAGGACTAGCCCGCCGAAAGTTACAGTGCATTTTAGGGGATAGGGGCTCAAAAAGGGCGATCAAGAAAGACTTTCAGCGAGTTGCCGAGTGCAATCGGCAAACTCAGGCTTCTCGCTAAAAGTTACAGAACCAAACTCCAGATTAAGCACGAAATTAAAGGTGATAAAGGGGGATTCGACGAACCACTGAGTGGTTCGGCAAGCTCAACCCAGCTCGCCAAACGACCCAACGTGCCTACTCTCAACCCCAACTTCCAAATTCAACCCCGCAGCCCCCAAAAACAAATCAAACCTTGCACTCCTTCAAGTAAACAAATACCCATTACACCCATGCCCCCGGGGTACTCAGGCTTCTCCCGGTTTCACCAAATTTGGCCATTTGACGACTTTTGCCCTTAAGAATGACGTCAACCGCTC